TAGGGGAGAGCGGACGGGATCCCGTATATTCCAGTGGGTATGGTCGTATGTACTAGTCATGCCTTGTCCCATTCTTGATATTGGCTGTGTACTAACCCAGGCTGCTCCTCCCTCCCTATACATTAAGGCCCCAGTCTAGATCCATCCGCTTCCTCAGACCCGAGTCGATTTTGGGGTAGTACGCCTTGGGCCAGTAGGCGCGCCATGCGTCGCACGTGGGCTGGATTTGGTCCAGCTTCATGACCTGCGGGATCTCGGCTTCGATCTCGAGGAACTGCACGCTGAGCCCCTGGCTGACGTGCCAGCCAATATGGCAGTGCATCAGCCACGCGCCCGGGTTGTTTGTCTCGAACGCGATGACGAGCCAGCCAGGCGGCAGCATGGCCACGTCGCGGCGGACGGGATTGTCGAAGTTGAGCCGACCCACGTCGGCGGCCGGGTCGAACCGGCCGGAGTCGCCGGCGCCCAGCACCATCATGTCGTGGCCGTGCAGGTGGATGGGATGCGGCAGCGAGCCCTGGGCGTTGTTGATGACCCAAAAGGTCCATACGCCGCGCCGGGGCACGCTGACGACGTTGGCGGCGCGCGGCCACGAGCTGTTGCGCTCGGCCACGTACTGCAGGATCGGCCGGTCCCACTCGACGTCGATGCCGGACCCGTTGACGAGCCAGTGGAAGACGTTGCCGCGGCTCGTCACCGTCGTCGTAAGGTTGACAGGCAGCTCCCTGTGCTGGGCTGCGAACTGCGACCGCGGCGCCGACCGGACGACCACGGGGACGAAGGGGCCGACCGTGTCCTTGCAGTCGGCCGTGATGGGTGTGCCGCGGTTGGTCGGGTTGGCGTTTGCGGGCGCGCCGTCGTAGGAGAAGATGGAGGCCGGGAAGGGGTTGTTGCAGACGCCGCAGCGGCCGCCGCCGCCCAGCGTTACGTTGAACCAGTAGTTGGCCACGGGCTGGTTGGCTTCGATGACGACGTCGTACCGCTGGCCGACGCCCAGGAACAGCTGGGTCTTGACCACGGGCCGGGTCGGCACGAGGTCCGTCGAGATGACGGTGAAGGAATGGCCGACGAGCGACACGGTGAAGCCGTTGTCGACCGAGGTGTTGATGATGCGGAGTCGGTGCTTCTTCCCCGGCGTCAGCTTGACGCGCTGGTACCGCCCGCCCGAGCCCCGCGGGTTGATGTTGGTGCCGTTGAACAGGATGTTGTCGGCCGGGGGCGGAGGGCCTGTGGCCTGCTCAGCCTTGAGCTGCAAGATGTCGGCGGTCTGCCAGTACCAGTCGGTAAGGACGAATGGCCCCAGGTCGATGTCGTAATTCGCGCTGGCCGGGCCGTTGACCACGACGGCACCAACGACGCCGTTGCCATACTAAAAAACATAATGTTAGCGTTGGAAAAAGTCGTGTGGTACTGCCATGGGAAAAAAGGGCGCTGAGAAATTCTTACCTGGATAGAGAAGTGGCTGTGGTACCAGGACGTGCCATATTGAACAGCCCGGAAGGTGTAGCTTCGACTGGAGCCGGGGGCAATTGGGCACTCGGTGATCCCGCCGGCGCCGTCTTGGTTGTTGCTGTTGAGCTGCCTCAGGCCGTGCCAGTGGATGCCGGTGCTGGACAGTAACGCATTATCAGTATATGAGCTGTACAAGGACTTTCTACTTTCTTGTCGAGTACCCAGAACTTACCCGTTATCCTTGAGGTTGTTATGGACCCGAAGCTCCAGCCAGTCTCCCCAATCTGGGTTTGGATGTTAGGACCAAGGGACCATGTCACAAGTTCAGGACCGAGGCAGACCTACCGCATTGGATGACAGGTCCCGGGAAGATTCCTAGGGACTCATGCGATGTTAGTGGCTATTCCTCGCCCTTCTAAAGCAGGCCAATCACTCACCGTTTATCAACATGACAGGCTTTGCAACACCATCTGCCGAGAATGATGTGATGTTGGTGATGGTGAGATCAATCTGACACTCTCGAATTAGCAACATGGCAGAGTTTATACCAATGGCCCAGCACCGGACGTACTACTCTGGTGGTGCCGGTGGGAATCGTCAGTTCATAGTCCGTGCTGACGTTCCAGTAGTTCTTCCTATAATCACAATAGTCTCAGTGGACGTAAGGATAAAGGGAGGCGTGGGCTTAATAGCCTACCAGCAGCCCCTGTTTGTAGCATTGTTCTGTCCGCAAGGAGGACCGCCAGGGGTGATGGTCTGCCTTGGCTGGAGAGCCCCAACTGGGACAACCGGGTTCGGCTTCAGGAGAGGCAAAGGGTCTGCACGAAGGGCAAGCACTGATAGAGAGCCTGCCAGGAAGTAAGAGAGACGCATGGTAGTGGCAGTTGCGATGGAAGTTCCAGGAGGTTGGCACAATACACTGTGGCTTAGAAATAAGGCTTAGGCGGCGCTCCTAAAGGCCTGTTGAGGATCTGGAGCTTCAGAAGGGTGGTTTGATGGGCACATAACGCCTCTTTTTATAGACTTGTCCATGACGCCCGCCTATGCCATCCGAGTTGACAAGACATCAGACAACGCAGGCGTGGACTGAGAAGATGCACAAGCTCGCGATATGGGGAAGGCGGCGCCGGGGCCACTCGCCCGCCCCCTGACGAGACTTCAGCGATAGGTCACGATCTCATCGTCACTGCCATATCACACCCCTTCCGTCTTCCGGACACACCGATAAACAGGGGATGCCGTGTCTATGGGTCTACGATGGCGGATTACGAATAGAGATCCGCACCGAGCGAACACCCCCTTTGGCCGCCCCTTGCTCTCCATCACGCAAGTATTGGCTCTTCGCATCAGCCCGCATGAAGAAAAGGCCTGGGCCCAATATTGCCCGAAAAGGCGAGTGATCGCCATGTCCTCGAGTGTCGGAAACAGAATTTCTCCGAAGGGTGGGATCTGTGGCTTATGGCAGCCATTGCATCCCCCCGGGATGGGAAATTGGAACAAGGAACAGTGGGATGCTCGACAAGGTCTCAAGGTGGGTGGTGATGGAAATGGACCGCCGGGAGCATGACAGACAGAGGGCCGAAGCTAGGACTATCTGTCTAGCGGGCTACCTAGTGGGAAAAAGGGGTCGTTGACTGTCTCGATTGGAATCTCTTCAAATTCGTGCATGGGATTCCGAGAAAGGTCCATGAGAGGCGGATCTACCCTCCCTGCTTCGGAACTTAGCGAATGGGTCGGGAACTGCCTCTGTAGCCGAAATGGGGCGATGGGTAGACACTCTATCTGACGTGATAGACATACCGCCGTCCATTTATCCCAGGCATTTGGGAAGGTCAGGTAGTAGTGATGGTTTGCTGACGCGTGGGAACGAAACGAGGAAAAGAGGTCGAGGGCATGACGAAGCGAAGGATCGACGACGAAACCTGGTTGCAGCCTCGGACTCGAGAGGCAGCCAGCCAGTGATGGTGGTGAATATGCAAGACATGCCAAAAAGCAAGTCTGAAATAGGAAAGTGAGGTGGCGACACCATCACAACTTGATGGGACGGGGAGTACAGGGGGCTTGGGCAAACTATTGAGCGGTTCAGCAACCGAGAGAGGACGGCACGGTTTTGAGGGTGTGTGGTAGCTTTTTGGAGGCCACCAAAGCTGCTCGGGTGAGGCGAGGGAGGCTGTCCTCGTGGCGGCCCCAGCGACCGTACTGAGACTAGAAGTTCCGCCTGGAAGAAGATGGAAGACGCTGGGGCCGTGACGCTTTGTCATTGGGGCAGGAGTCGTTTATTCATGGCCAAGGTATTTTGAGGGAAGCCTCCAAGAAGGACTGCTCTCAAATTTAGAGCATCAATGACGGCAGCCGGGGTCTCGATTTTCCGGAGCCGAAGGCGGTGGCATCTGATTTTGAACCCGGACCTATCCAGAGACGGCAGCTACCTGTTGAGGTGATCGTTAGTCTTCATCCCCGCTTAAAGTTGCAGTACGCTGCCGTGTCACGAGGCTCAGCTGTGCGCCGTGTCGACAGAAGGTGCCGAGTCTGAGCCGCGGTCAATACTCGGGTGTGTGCCAGGTCGGCCAGTTGTGGACCATGCACGCAGGAGGGTATGGTTGACTCCTTGAGAGCTGCCAAGGCCAGCGGGCGAGGTACCACACATCCCCTCCTTTTCACCATCTGTTGTGCAGTCTCCAAGTGAGATATTTTTAGATGCGTTAGCGAAAGCCGGTTTGTCGAACCAAGTGGACGAGAAGGCGATGGGACCACCACACCACGTCCAACAAGCAGAAGCTCGGGCGCAATATAGACCTGCAGAAAAAGGGCGAAAGGCTGAGGTCGGTCGCAATAACGAACCAGGGGGACACGGGAAGTGGGACGGCGGATTGGGATGAAGTCAGAAAGGAGGGATGAGGTGGCGTTGGACGCGACTTTTAGCGTTTAGGCACAATCCGGCTCAGCAGTGGTCGTCTCCCCGCCATTGGCTGAGGGTGTTGCTGACTAGCACTGGCAGGCCAATCGAGGCTGGGAAGGGCCAGGGACGGTCGTCTTCTGTCTTCTGGTCCTTGAATCCTCCCCCCTGCGTTCTCGCGATACTCTCTTGGAGTCGAGGTCCCCGTTGCATGTGATCTCTTATCCTGGTCGAACTTGGCTTCCCCCGAGCCAGCTTGGATGGCGTTCGTGAGGATCAGCGGCACTTCATCACGGCATCTTAGCCTGGGCTACAAACCAAGATAACCACGATTGCCCTAGCCCAGACGGCTCAGGCTATTTCTCCCATCGCTTTCGGGAGGGTCTCTGAGCTGTCATCCTGGTTTGTTTATCCCTCCGGTACCGGCTTCTAGACAAAGATGCCGTGGCTTGCCGCACCGGTCTTCAGGCAGTAGAAGAAAAAGGACCGAGGAAACATTCCTCGCGTATACTAGGGCAGCTATTGCGAGGATTCATGGCGGAATCCTGCTTGGCCCGGCGTACCGACCGGGTTCCAAACTGGAAGACTTCCGAAGCAACCTTTTTCTAGCCAACCGTTACGAGCCTCGACAGTGACAGCAAGTGCTCTCTGGTTTCAATATAGGCAGAATCTGCGGGCCCCGCTCCTGTTCCAAGTCGGACGACGCCGCCAAGATGTGGCCCACGACAGCCGACTAGCTGATAGGTATCCACACCATCCGATCGACTTCCCGAAGATCAAGAGCGCAACATGGTCCGGAATTCTGTCCGCCGCCCTCGCTGCAGCTGCCTGCTATTCCTCTCAATCTATCATATCGTGTTATTCTCGACATCTGTTTACTAGACAAGAAAATACAAACATGTAGCAAAGCTGACTTTTATCTATCACGCTTGTTTCTTGTATACTCTGTGCCAAGTCACCATGTATGATATATCAACTGGCAGGCGTCCACCAAAGTTGTAGTTCAGTATCCGCGCACCTCTGACGGGTGCCCCTTCCCTGCCGTTCGGTTAGGCCGTCTCTAATCACAACTCTTAGATCATGCTCGATTTGTGGACGTACAATGAGTGGAGATCCCGCTGATAGTAGCCGTGTCTGTTGATCCCGGCTGCCTCGTGGGCGGGAGGGATATGGCCTGCTGCTAGCCGGTCGGTCTCTCGGCCTGGCACGCAAACACAGCTCAGGCTGAATTCGAGTCAATATGGCGACTTATAGTGCAATATGGTTCTATGGCCCACGCTTCTGTGCAGCACCAGGTATCTAGAGTCTCTCGGCCCAGAATCGCTGGGTTGGCGATGCAGCCGAGGCGCCCTCCTCTCTGGCTATTTTTGGGACAGCACGACGTTTGCAATATCGAGGCCGCATGCCGTGGGCCCATCAGCTGGGAGACATCCGGGCTTTGGCAGCGTCTACATTGCCGACATTGCAGATACATAAAGAACCCGGGGTAGGCTTGCCCTTGGTTCGTATGGGCAGAGAGATACAGACCCGATCGCAGTTGCACAGTTGCACAGTAACACCTCTCCACCGGCAGCGTACACAATGGCAGCCATCTTCAGACCCCACCTGCTTCTTGCGGCGCTCCTGGCGCTGTGCCTGGGCGTGCTCGGCCAGAGCTGCTCGTCGTACGGCGTGGACTACAGCAACGGGGGTTCTTACTACATCGACGGCTCGTCGAACCAGTACTTCACCTTCATCTCGGTGTTCCAAGGTAGGGGGGCAAAATCACGAGTCGAACTCGTTTTCTGGGGCAAAGAGCATGGCAGATTTGCTGACCTGCTTCCTCAGGCTGCTCTTCCGAGCTGGTCAGCCCCGTGCTGGTCAGTCCCGAGGGCAACCAATATGCGTGCTCGGCGATCCAGGTCGGCCAATCCGGCGTGCAGGTCAGCTCGCAATGGTACGACACATATCCCATGGCGCGCCTGTGGAGAAGTTGAGCGCGGGCGAGTGGCTGATACAGCAACAACAGCGGAATTCCCTTCTCGGTCATGCGGACCGGGCAGTGGAGGATCGTCGTCGCCGGCAACCAGATTGCCGTCCAACGCACGATTAACCTGAGCGTTGGCGTCCCCGAGAGGGTGACGATAACGGTATGCGATAGCTGCATGCCGCTGTCTCATGTCTTGTTTAGCGACCAATTCTAGGCGAGTACTAAGTCATGTCCCACGCAGGCCACTCCGACCGTCGTTATCGGGGTCACAAGCACTCCGCAGGCCGTCAGTAAGTCTATGCAAAGCCAAGCTTCCTTGGGGGTGGAGGACAAATGGGATACATTCCTGTGAGACATATCAGATGAGCTAATGCGCGCGCGACTGGCGCAACCCCAACCCAACAGCCGTCATCAGCACCATCGTGCAGACGCAAACCCTGATCCTGGCTCCCGCGACCGTCACGTCGAGCAACTGCGCCGTGGGGACGGCAACGGTGACGGTGTATCCGCAAGGGCAGACGGTGACCATCACGTCGACGGTGACGCGCACGTCGACGCAGGGCACGACGACGAGCCAGTACACGACGACGATGGTGACGACGGCGGTCTGCCACTACCCCAACAGTGGGTCCCCCCAGCCCACCATCACCTTCTGCATCGGGCGAAGCTGCGGTGGCGGTATTCGGCCAGGCGCTGACAAGGCGGACGACGCCGTGGCTGCTGCAGAGAAGCGAGACGAGGGGAGGCGCCGGCTCGGGGCGCGCGTCGCCGTCGCCGCCACGACGGTGACAGTGACGCAGACGACCTACACCGTCACCCTGACCTCGGTCACCACGCTCCCACCCCAGACCAGGACGGAAGCCCGTAAGTTCCATCTCTTGAGGTCTTGTATCGACGAGGGAGGGATGCTGACGAGGAGCCATTGTGTCACAACAACCCAGTTCTCCGCATCACCACCGCCACCATGTAAGTTGCAACGAGCTTCTAGTCCGCAAGAGACATACAGAAGAAACGGTGGGAGCTGACAAGACAAAAACTCAACAGCACGCCGGCGCCGGCGACGGTCTGCGTCGGGGTCAACCGGCCCAGCGTTACCGTCACAGTACGGCAAGGCAACCCTATCGTCGTCACGCAGACCAACATCGCGTACAAAACCATCACGACCCGGGGGACTGTCTACGTTGGGTAAGTGGGAACATAAAATCGGATGTGCCTCCATGAGACTAACCGGTCTTTTACAACAGGCGAACCGTATTCTCGACCAGCACGAACCAAGCGAGCGCGACAGCGTGCTGGAGGGCAGGGGGTTGGTATGGGCTCTAGGATGCCAGTCTTGACCTTGTGTTTCCTCCCGCGGCCCATCCTAGTTTCTGGACCCATATCCCTGCTGGATGACGGGCCTTGTCGGAGGGTGACTTTCCTTTGGGGGTCTTTTATGATTCTCGAACGTGGTGGGCAGCTCTTGTGGCTATCGAAAGTGGCCCGACATAATGTACAAAGAGTCTCAGCAGCGTTTGAAGCCATCCCAACCCATTTCGAGTTGCGTGCGTGCAGATTGAAAGCCGACAGGGGACATCCCGACGCTGTCGCTCGCTGGCTTTCCCCCGAGACTACGGCGCCGTTCCCACCCGACGGCCCGGGGGAGATCAGAAATGCTTATGTCTGGGCCTGGCTAAGGGGAGCTAACGCGCTAAAAGCGCTGTGCGCGCCAAGCCCAGCGGTCGCCGATGTTGGTGGCGGAATTCCTACGCTACCAGGTTGTTGCGTCATCAATTCCTCGCCATTTCCCGGCTGCGTTTTTCTGCACAGGTGAGGCGTCAAGCCTAGGAAGGCATCCAAAGCCAATTTCCATTTTTCTTTTCCACACTTTCCCACAAACTCACTCGGGATCACGGCTGCGCAAGCTTCAGCCCACACAGCCTTCCCGCCTCCCGATCATCCGAGTATTTCATTCCACCCTTTTCGACACTCATTTTCTCCACAATCGCTCACCAAGCCCGCAATCCCTGCCATCCCTGCCCTCCCAATCCGTACGCAGAACTCTTCACCGCTGCTGTCTTCCGAGGTGAGCACACCGAGCAGCAGCGCAGCATGACCCGAACCCACGACGACGGCGGGGCAGTAGCGTCGGAAGTGCCCAACTACGGCTCTTTTGCGGTAGCCTCGGGGGAAGAGCTCGCCGCTGCGGACGATGCCATCGCCGAGCAGTCGCTGCTGCTTGCGGACGAGCTACCGATAGTACCTATAGACAGAGTCCGCAGCAATGGCACCACAAAGTCAAAGGCGGCTGCGCACAGCCCGCCTGTCAGCTGGAAGGACCTGCCCAGGAAGGGCCAGCTTGTTGTCATTGTCCTGGCACGGCTTGCCGAGCCCTTGGCTCAGACCTCGCTCATGGTAGGAATAATGTGCCACAGAATAGTGTGCCACAGCCAGTTTCAGTGGGAGCAAAAACTGACACTCGACCGCACAGTCGTATCTTTTCTACCAGCTATCATGGTTCGACCCCTCGCAGTCGGCCGCTGAAATTTCGGGCAAGGCCGGCATCCTCCAGGCCAGCTTTACTGGAGCCCAGTTCCTCACGGCCATGGCTTGGGGCAGGGCTGCCGATTCAAGTCGGTTCGGCCGCAAGAGGGTCATCCTCTGTGGCCTCCTTGGAACCTGTGAGTGTTTTTCAGCGTCCCTTGATTGCGCGCAGGCGCCTGCTGACCAGGCCCGTCAGTGATTTCTACCATTGGCTATGGCTTTTCCACTACATTCCAGCAAGCTCTTTTCTTTCGAGTTTTGGGTGGTATAACGAATGGGAACGTTGGCGTCTTGAGAACCATGTAAGTCACGTCACGTTGGATGATATGTCTGATAAACGGTCAGCACATCGCGAGCCTTGCTCTCCATTTCATGTTGCTAATCCAACATCTAAACTGCCAGGATCAGCGAGACTATTTACGAAAAGAAGTAAGTTCACATTCATCCTGATGCGGACGAGCAACGGTGTGCTCATATATATATATCGCGTGACAGGTATCAGTCCAGAGCATTCCTCCTGCTCCCTTTGACCTTCAACATTGGGACAATCATTGGGCCCATGCTCGGAGGCCAGCTTGCCGACCTTGCCGGGACCTATCCTGACGTCTTTGGGCACATGGACTTTTTCGTCAAGTACCCCTTTGCCCCACCCAACATCGTGTCTGCCTTTATCCTACTCTGTGGACTGCTTTCCGCCTGGCTTTGTCTAGAAGAGGTATGCTTCAGAATCGCTCCTTGTTCCTTTGGCCATCCCGGACGACTGACGTTATCCGAGCAGACACTAGATGCCCGCCTCGACAAACGGGACTACGGCATTGAGCTGGGCAAGAAGCTCGCGCGCCTCTTCCAGTCTAGCTGCCTTAATAGGGGCGAGAAAGGAGGTAGGTACTCGAGGCTGGAGCAGCGGGAGTTCTCTCCCGGGGATGAAAGTACCGATACGATCAACATGAGCCCCTCTTCCAGCCGCCGGTCCTCGCTGGACGAGGCCCCAAAGCGGCGAGGCGCGAGATACACACAGCGCTTGTCGTTCCGGCGCATCTTTACGCGCAACGTCGTCTTCACGCTCGTGGCGCACTTTTTTCTCGCCTTCCACATCGGCTCGTTCAACTCGCTGTGGCCCATATTTTTGTCCACTCCAGTGTACGACCCGTCCCATCCGCCCAAATCACCCGACGCCCTGCCCCGCCACCTACCCTTTTTATTTACTGGTGGTGTTGGGCTTTCTTCCCGGTCGGTCGGGGTGGCCATGACAACCCTGGGGACTATAGGCATCGCGTTACAGCTGGTGCTGTATCCTTGGCTGTCTGGGAAGCTCGGAACCATGAAATCATGGCGCATATTCCTTGTGTGCTTCCCGGTCGCCTACTTTGCCGTCCCTTTCCTCAGCATCGTGCCGAGCGCCAGCCCTCCGCCCCACGAAAAGTCGGGCGCCCTGGTGTGGCTCGCGCTCAGCCTGGTCCTTCTCTGCCAGGTGCTGGGGCGCACCTTTGCCCTGCCGGCGCAGACGATCCTGGTCAACAACTGCTCCCCGCACCCCAGCGTCCTGGGCACGGTGCACGGCATCGGCCAGACGGCCAGCTCGGCCGCGCGCACGATAGGCCCGTACGTCGGCGGCATCGTCTACGGCGTCGGGCTGGAGAGGGGCATCGTCGGCGCCGTCTGGTGGGGGCTCAGCTGCGTGGCCGTCTGCACGCTGGTGGCCAGCTTCTGGGTCCGCGACGGTAACGGCCACGAGGTCTGGCTGGAGGGGGACGAGGATGAGTGACGGCCAGGCGGATTGAAGCCGGGGCATGGCATAACAGCGATCATTCTTTTTAGCAATAGTCGATAACGAAACACGCAATTATAAAGGCTGAAGCTCAATACTGGCCGACTCGCACACCTTGGACTCTGGCCTACGAAACGTAGTATTAACTCGACATTACACGTGGCCGAGCCATGACTTTGCACAGCGGGTTTCTTGTTTTATGTTTTGGTCAAAGGGTACAAGTGTTGACCGAATAGCTTGGACAATAGAATTTGCCGAGTATCAAGGCAGAGTTTCTGGTCTGAGGGTGTCTAGGGGAGAAGCATGGATAGAGGATGAAAAAGGAGCAGGTGCCGTTTATTTGGTGGGTGGCTGCACTAAACTTCCTCGCAGTCAACTTACATCCGCTCCCAGCCTCGTCCCCCTATCTCCGGTTGAGAGTGTGTTCACATCTTGATCACCTCGCGCCCGAGGCTAAGGCAAGGCATTCGAGCGATGCTTGTCGTCTAGGAAGCCAGCAGCCAGAGGCCAAACAAAGCAGAGCCATAAAAACACTTAGTCTACATGCCTACAAGGCTCGGCCGCACGTTTCGCATCGAAGCATTTTTAGAGCGATGGCAAACACAAAGGCGACAACCTCCAAGCCGGAGCCCGTCGACCAGCGCCCATTCCCATTCGTAGGGCTTCCTGTGGAGCTCCAGCTGGAAGTCTTCCGTCATGCCATGCTGGTGTCATATGTGGATGTCATATCCCTCGACGACGTAAGTTGACCCCACTACTTTTTTTTACTTTTTTTCCCAGATCTCGAACGCTCAGAGCACAGGAAGCTAACAGCATTAAACACAGAATATCACGGACGTCTCGGGAGTGCTGGTAGACGCCAACTTCCTAAACGTCACCCTCTCCTGCCAGCTCGCCGCCGGCGTGCTCAAGGAAATCAAGCGCGGCAGGCGACATCAGGGACCACCACCCACACGCCCAGAAACGACCAACAGCAACGACGGCCCCGACAGCAGCCTCCGCCGCCGCCACCACAACCGCCTGACCCTCGATGCCCGCGTGGAGCGCAGCATGCGCCGGCCCGACGCCACCACCGTCATCCGCATCCCCGTGGGGGGAGCCGCCGCCACCCACGACGACGACGACGCCGCCGCCGCCGCCGCCGCCGCAACCCGCTTCCTGGCGGCGCCGTGGGCGCGACACGTCCGACACGTCGCCATCGAGGGCTACCCCATCGTCACGCGGCTCAGCGGCTTCCCGAGCGAGGCCGAGGACCTGCGCGACCTGGTGCGCGGCCTCGCGCGCGGCTGCGACTCGCTGGCCACCGTGGTGCTAGCCGGCGGCGGCGACGACGGCGACGACTCGGCGTGGGACGAGAAGGCGGCCGAGGCCGAGGCGGTGAGGCGGACCTTGTAAGTGGCCGGCCGCGCCGTGGCCGGGGCCGGGAAAGCCGGGCCGCCGGCGGCGCTCGACGGGTGCGCGACGTGGCTGCCGCGGCTGGATTTGTTTTTTACGATGCGCGGCAAGCGCGCGCCCGCGTACAGGCCGATGGGGCGCGGCGGCGGCGGCAGCGGGCAGCGGGCGGGCGCGGTGAGGCTGTTGCGGGGCCGCGGGGAGGGGGGGCTGGCGGTCGGGGTGTTCACGACGCTGGTGAGGGCTGAGAGGCCCGAGGTTGAGGGGTGCGCGGTTCTATTATGAGTGACGCCGGGGCGGTTGGTGGATGGTTCCAAGTTATAGGGGGGGAGCAGGATCTATCATTGCGTGATAGAAATTGGAAATATAACCAAAGAATATGATTTAAGAGCAGCCATGTGGCCGTCATATGCGTCTGTTGCAGCCTCCAAGGGCGTTCGTAAACTAACCAGTGCAACCCAACGCCAGCCAATGCATTATGACAAATGAAAGAGAACATATCCTAGAGCTGTGGTCGAAACAGCCATCGTTCCCAGAAACCCACCAATCTACAAATGCGACCCTCACACCAGCTCCCTCGGGTGCTGCCTCGAGCCCAGCTCCATCCCCTTGGCGCTCGGGCCGTCGCCGCCGCCGCCGCCGCCGCCCTTCATCAGGCCACGCAGGCCCGAGAGGCCAAACATGCCGCCACCGCGCGGGGCGTCGGGAGATGGTGGCGCCGCGGTGGCGCCGGCCGAGGTGCCCATGGGGTAGGGCTGGCGCCAGGGTTCCTGGGTGTAGGAGGGCGGGGCGTCGTCCTCGGGCTGCGGCGACTTCTTGCCGAAGAGGCGCCGGCGCAGGAAGCCCTTGAGGAAGAGCAGCACGGTGCTGATGAACAGGATGGCGAGGGCGATCGGGGCCAGGACGCTAGTTTTGGGTTGCAGGGTCAGCTTCGTGGTGTTCTTCTGGCTGATGTCAAAGAGGTGGCAAATTTTACTTACAGGTTGTAGCCAGGAGAGAGAGCAAAGGGGAAGCCACTATAAATTCACAAGTTGATTCGTTAGCCTTGGTCGCAACTTGGTTGGAAACTCTGGAAAAAAAAAAAAAACTAGACTCACAGAAATGCGTTGATAATGCCCATGACCATGACGGACCGCCCCAGCCAGATGTGCACGGGGCGGAGGTTGAGCGTCTTCTTGGGGGTGGGGACGGGGACCTCGGCCTGCGACTGGCTCTTGCGGTGGTTCCTATGGTGCAGGAAGCCGATGACGAACTGGGTGAGCAGGAAGATGAAGACGAGGATGCCGATGACCTGGTGGGCAGAGTTGAAATCCTTGGACTGGAGCGACGAATAATGTCAGCAAAGAAGCGGACAAACGCCACAAGTCGGGGACACAGAACAGCACTTACCCGGTTATACCTGCCGCTGACATGGATACCAAGCCCAAAACCGACAATAATTCCAACAACGGCAACGCCCTGGGTAATGCCGTGCGGGCGCACCCACTCGCCGACGCGCAGCATCAGCACACCGAGCGGCAGCAGCCCCACGAAGCAAAAGATCATGACGACGGCGTGCGCCACGGCGGCCCAGTCCCGCTTGCCCGTCCTCGAGACTCCCCCGAGCGTGGCGCCCACGCTGCGAAGAGTGGTGCTCTTGTCCAGCACGGGCGCGTCGGCGACGCCACCACCACCAGCGGCGGCGGCGGTGGCGGCGCGCAGGTCGAGCGTGAAGGATCCGAAGCTGTGGTGCATCTTGAGCGGCGCGGCCGCGTCGTCGCTGCGGAAGAAGGACGGCCCCGCGCCGTAGATGCACGGCAGGGCGGTCGCGGCGACGTCGAGCGAGCCGCCGCCCGGCCAGCGCCGGCAGCCGGCGCAGCGGGCGCGGTAGACGAGCGTGCCGTTAATGAGGCCGGTGCCGGGCAGGGCCGTCACGCGCAAGCTGCTGCTGTCGGCTGCGGAGAGGGGCGTCGGCTCGGCGCGGCCGCGGGTGGCGAGGCGCGGCGAAAAGGTCACGTTGGCGCCGTCGGTGGACGCGTACACCATCAGGATCAGCGGGTTGCCCGCCATGGTGGCCGATCCCAGCCCCACGGCCGCCCAGCCGCCTGCGGGCTGGCCCGCCAGCGTGAAGTAGATGTCCTCCGAGTCGGCGGGGATGGAGATGCCGAAGGCGAGCTCCTGGTTTGGCGACACGAAGACCGACTGCCGGAGGGCGCCTGGCGAGGGGGTCGACGTGGGCGCGGCGGTGGCGGATGTGCTGCTGCTGCTGCTGCCGCTGGACTGGGCGGCGGCCTGTGTGATGAGGGACGAGACGACCAGCGCCAGTGTCCTCCAGTGGAAATGCATCTTGTGGATGGTGTGAGTAGTCGTGGTATGTGTGTATTATAAAAGATTGTAAAGGCTGTTCAACAGCGGACTAGCCACTGGCTGGATCTCAAAGATCACTTGGTAAAGAGAGAGCGACACTTCACACACGCACGCACACACTTGCTTGCAATGAGACTCCAGAGAGAGAGGGCAAGCCGACACAGCACAAAGGGCCAGCGACGGGCCACCCATATATCCAACATCCATCCCACCCACGAAACCGCCATCGGACCTGTCAGACGAACGATGGCCCAATTGGTACCACCTGGCTCGCCCGAATAGAAACGCGCATTGCGACCCAGACCTCTTCCCGCACAACATTGCGTGGCCTCCCCATTCCCCTTTCACAACAGACGGGCGCGTCGCCTGGGCCAGGCGTGATGGTGGTTGGCCCTGTAGCCGCCGACCCCAAATCCCTTGGCAGGGCGCGAAAGGTTCAAAGGAACGTGAAGAGGGAAACAAACGTGGGCGCCAAAGATAGACGGACGCTGATTGGCCCCAGCCACCCACCAACCCCTTTGACAACCCCTGTCGGATTACCCCATTGGATTCTCCCGCTGCCCCATCCCTCTCTTATTCTCTCCCTCTACCTCACCACAGCAGATGCCGGCACAACCGACCGCCGGCGGGTAGCGGTGCATTGATTGGCGTTCGTGGGCCACCTGGGTTTGCCTGCACCTGTGCCACCGGGGCTCCGTCGCCTTGCCATTCCTGGTCAAGGAGCTTGCGCGGCCTCGTAGACGAAAAGCTGCAGAATGCAGACATGAGGCAGCATCATCATCGTCCTAGGAAAGGCATTGTGAGAGATGGGGCTGCTGTCATCAATGATCTATTACCTACCTAGGTGGTACCCAATTTGTCACCTGCACATCGTCGTCCCCTCCCACACGGGCATCGCGCCGCCCTCCCGCCGGGGGGCCCACCGCAGCTTCACCCTCATGGCGGCCAGGAAGACGCGGAGCGACCAGGTCGAGCCGCGCCCTTCATCGCCGTCGTCGTCGGTGTAGCCCAGGTCCAGGACGTAGTAGGTGCCCAGCACGAGCACGATGAGCGGCAGCGACACGACCCAGTACAGCTTGAAGTCCTGGCCGCCGGGCGCGTAGGGGTCCGTCATGCTGAAGAGCGACGACACGTAGGCGAGCGGGATGAAGACGAGCCCCACCAGCGTGACGGCCTTTGTCCGGTTCGCCTCGCGCATGCTGCGCCGCGCCGTCGCGAGCGCGAGCTGCTGCTCCCGGTGCGCCTGCCGGTTGCCCGTGATGGAGGCCAGGCCCGTCACGGCCCCGTTCAGGCACTCAACGCGCCGCCGGAGCTCCGAGAAGCGGAGGTGGAGGAACTGGAAGTCCAGCGTCGGGTCCAGCCACCGGGAGAGCTCCTGGTCCCGCCGCCTCTGGCAGCCGCCCCCACCCCCGCCCCCGGGCCCGGCCGGCGGCGGCGGCGACGAGAGGTCGGGCGGCTCGAGCGGGATGCCCAGCTGCATCATGATGGCCTCGAGGTCCTCGCAGTACTCGGCCGTGCGGCGCTCCCAGGCCTGCGTGTCGCTCCAGAGGTCCTCGACCTTGTCCATGGGCAGCGACGCGAGGTCGATCTTGCGGCTCAGCGCCCGCTGGTTCTGCGACAGCACCGCCCGGAGGTGCTCGGCTTGCCGCAGGTAGTGCGACGCCACCACCTTGCGCACGAAGCCGCCCACCACCGCGTCCGGGTCCGCCGCTAGCCCCCCGCCGCCGCCGCCCGGGGCCGCTAGCACTAGGGGCCCCACGTGCTCGCGTAGGTAAAAGGCCAGGTCGTCGAGCATGCCGACCCGTGGCGGGCCCTGAGGGCTCGGCCGACCGTGCGGCGGGTGGGGGACGAAGTCGACGTAGCCGCCCTGGTACGGCTTCGTCTTGACGGCGTACTCGTCCTTGTACTCCTCCCCCGTGCGGACGCGCCTGACGGGAGGGTCGCACAGTATCAGACCTGGTCGCCGAGCCGGTCAGCCATGCCGTCTCCGAAAAGCAGGCAGTAGAAGTAGAAGTTGGAGGTGTCACACTTACAGTCCCAGCCATCGTTGTCATTCTTTCTGCTCCAGAAAGTGGCCTTGCGCCTGACCACGATGGCCTCGTTGAATACGCCGTCGTCGCGCGAGACGCCGATGTGACGGCCCGTGTCGGCGCAGACCAGCCTAAAGCTGGCCGGGCGGCGGTCGATGCACATGACCTCGAAGTACTTGAAGCACACGTGGCCCCGGGCGCGCAGGGCCGACGGCAGCGGCAGGCCGTCGCTCTCGCCGTCGGGCTTCTTGCTCATGACCACGACGCGCTCCTGCTCCACGAAGACGGACGGGTGCAGCCCAAAGTGGTCACCAAAGACGGCCACGACGGCCGGCCCGAGGCCCTCGACTATCCACACCGTCCGCCGTCCGGGCTCGGACGCGTGTCCGGCCAGCCGGGCGGCCATTTCGGCCGGGTCCGTGAGCTCGGCCTCGCTGCTGAACTTGTTGTCTGCACCCAGCCTCATGGCCAAAGCCCGGACGCCAGAGTCATCCCTGCGATACACGACAAGGAGTGGTCAGTTTCGGGCAAAAGCCCGCTGGGGCATGTTGCGAGACTTTGAAGGGCCGGCTGCAGCTCACCAGGCTATCATCTGAATGGTAGCCTTGGGATCTCGGTTTCCAAGCCGAGGATCAGAGGCGCAGAGCTGGCTTGCGAGCCGCTGGTAGCTGGTGTCTCGGGCGAGCCATCTCTGCGCAGGTGGCGGCGGAGGTGGGAAGCCATTCTTCTCCGCCCCGACCACAGGACGAGTGCTGGGCATTGGTAAGAAACGGAAACAGAAACAGACAGAGAACACGCGATAGCAGCCTGCTAACTGTGAGGCGGAGAACACTCGGTCAATTCATCTATTTATCCAACTACATGCTTGCTTCACAGTTATCGCCAACCTGCAGTCACTTCTGCGCAGCTCCCCCTCCTTCGGTCTGTCGTCCAGGTAAGCAGGGCGAGGCTGTGTGCAGCTCTCCGGGCACCGCCAACGCCCATCAATTGCCCACCGCTACCTACCGTGGCACCCCTCCACTGGCTTTGGGGGCACGCGACGCATTTCTTGGCTGTGCCTGGCCGCTGGAGGATGAGGATTGGAAGGGACGCTGCAGCCGGGCAACTGGACAAATCACAGCTTTTGTGCTGGGCACGCGGCGTCGTGGAGAGCGCCTGACTGGCTCTTCTCAGCACATCCAGGGGACGAGGCAAGAGCAACCGGGCGGGAGGCTGTGCCAGCCATCGGTCGCCACAAAAGGAAGCGGCCACCCTGTTGAGCAGATTCCTGCCAAGCAGATTCATGCTATTTTCCACCATCTAGGCTGCCTCCCTCCCACGCCTTACAGTCATCTCGTATTCAATCAAGAACAGGACATTTCGAGATGCCTTCTAGACCGAACCCAGCAGCCAGTTTTACAATCCAGCCATGATAGACCCCGGCCAGCCATCTCAACCAGCCCCAGTCAGGCAGCCCACGTGTGAGGCCTGTCCCCTATGTCTTGGTCGCGTGCTTCTTCCGCCGCTGCTCTGTGCTGGCTACCGCCAGCTCTCTGTCTCGGTTAGCTAGCGCCGTACGCCATCAGGGACATCATCCACCATCCACCCATCTGCCTTGAGTACCTAGCAGCACGGCACCCAGGTAGGTACCTCCCTGCCCAGGGGGCGTGCAGTGTCTGCAACCGCCCGATGCAGCACGTGGGACTCCGTCGTCGACGGAGATTAGCGAGCGCCGCCACCATTCCAGTTTTGGCCTGCTCACCGCCCAAGATGACGACCTAGCCGGCCTCCCCAGCCAGCCTCGATGCTGTCGACATTTGCACACCCTCCTTGCTCGCAGAGTTGATGCCCCGGTTACATGACAACGCACCGCAATCTCTCGACACCGTCATTTCCTGCAGCATATCAGCCCAGTCCAGCCCAGCCCGCCCACCCTCGGTGCTTTGCCTGCCGCCGGCAACCCCTCATATAGCGCCATACCAGCGCTACCCCAATCCTCCAATCTCTACGCGACGCCGTACGCAGGGGTGGCCGGAGGGAACTGCGGCGGCGTCTGTGGCGTCCTGGAGCGTCTTCCCGATAGTCCGACTACTTGATCTGCCCTGGTCCGACGCGGTTTCGTGACGGCGGCCTCCAGGTCGACCGCTAGGCGAGGTCGCCAGGCCACGTGAATTCGGGAGTTGGCTCGACGACCTTAGCCTCAGCCGCGGACGCTAGGAGATGCAGTTTCAGCCACAGGTAACAACACGAACAGACGAACGCTGCGTCCGAGGTGCCGTTCCTTCCTTGCTGCTTCTGCGCCAGCTCGATTGCATTGCATCGGGTATCGTTATGTCTCGGACCGCGGGCGCTCACAAGACCAATGCTTTGCGATTACGAGGGGCGGCGGCCATTGGGCCGAAACTCTGCCCCCAACAGGACATGTGGGATTTGACGGAGAATCGCCCCCTCCTTGCCGTTGCATCTTGCTTCCCCCTGCAGCTGAGTGGCATGACGTCCCCGTGTCGAGACTACCGATCCCAGTCTTCTTTGCATGCAGCGTCATCTGTTTCCACCTTCCATTCCTTCTTTTTCGCTTTTCTGGAATCTTTCCCTTTTCGCACTCGCGCCAACGCGCGACACTGACCGCGCAAGAGGGAGAAGAAAAAAAGGTCATATGCGCAATGCGCGTCGCCGTCCAGTCTCGAGTGTGCCTGCCGTCGGCTGCGGAGCTTTCCGTTCAACACACCCGGGCACGCACAGTTGCTGCTGCTGCTGCTGCTGCTGCTGCTGTTGCCAGACCGAGACTATCAGTGCTCGTACGGGGAGAAACCCGGGCTTCCGCCCCTCTGCATCTTTTCCCCTTTTGGGCATCTTTCCCCTTTTGGTTGGCGTGCGATTGGACGACATGCCGGTCGAGAAGGCCGATGATGCTGTCATAGGGTTCTGGTCCTGGCTTCTTGCTGCTTACTGCTTGCCCGGGACGAGCCCGGATCATCCTTTGGGTTCCTTCCTGGTGGGCCGCAGCTCCTTCGGCCATCGATAGGCTGCGTCGAAGCCTGGCTGGTGACGCTCATGGTGCCCGTGCTCTGCGCCACTTGCCACCCCATCGTTGGGCACGACTGTCGATCTCGCGTGGTAGGTCCTCAGGGTTCAGCGGCCAGCCGCGTGAGTGTCTCGTGGCCAACCCCCGCCAGGGGTCCTCCCCGAGCCTGATTTGGGTGGTGGTTGCATGCAACACTCGAGAACAAAACAAGAAGGTTCGTGGCGCTAGCTCGAGATGACTGGTGGGCGTGTTGGAAAGAAAAGGCTTTTATCAGTTGGCGACAGGGATCACCAAGAGGCGAGGCGCACATGGCCAACGAGCGGGAAGAAGCCCGAGCTAGACCGACCCCCCGAGCGGCGCCGAGGCCAGGGACTACTAGACCTTGAAACAGTTCAAGGTCAATGCACCCATGCACATGCGTGCTCGGCGGGGTGTGCCTCGTATGCACAGTCATCAAACTGCGCTAGCCAGGACAGGACCTCGATGTTAGTCCGATAGTCCAGCATTCACTCAATCCTGTCTTTTCCCCTCCCCCTCCTCGTTAGACTATTGCTGCTAGCTTGCTCCTGACACACCCATGCCGCACCTACGCCATGCAGACCTGACGTCAACGAGGGTGCCGGTAGGGACTAGTTTCTGTATCTCATTTTCCATCGCAATCTGAACACAGACAGGAAGGTTCGTACCTGCCTACGTCCACCCCCCGGTTCTTTTACGGGCGCGCCTGCATCACCAGAATGCCTTCTGGTCAGGGGCGGTTAGAGTGAAAGTCAGGGGGAGAAAGTGTGTGTGAAATCGTTGGCCTTGCCAAGATACCAGCCTTTAGGGAGTTGTCCTTTTTTCGGACTAGTTTTAACCCCAAAAACGTGTCTGTGTGTGTGTGTGTGTGTGTGTGCTAACTAGCGCCCTCCCGTTCCCCGAGCTCCCCCCCGCGAGCCCCCCGAGGCGGACTGCCTGCCGCAGGGCTACTCGACTTCTCCGTCCTTCTCGTCTTTCCCACAGGGGTGCACCCCTTTCCCTCCGGACGGCGCTGGTTTGTCCCAACATACCTCTCACCGCCGTTTGCCCTATTGCTAGGCATGCCGCAATAGCCCAAATGGTTTGTGGGTGGGGTTTTTTGTGCGTTGTTACCACATCGCGCCAAGGCGACGGGAGCCTTGCCCTCCAGTGGGAGCCAGAACCACACACACACTCTCTCTCTCTCGCTCTCCTTCTCTATCTCTATATCATAAAGGGGGAACAACATTCAACCGCCGGCCGCCCTTTTTTTTTTTCGGCCGGCAAATTCGGGGCGCAGGCGGGCAGGCAGGACAAAGGCGGTGGAGGACGGACTACTCGACCCTCCGTCGTCACCAGCGAGCTCTGATTCGCCCAGTACTAGTTTACTCCCCACCCCCTTCTTGAGTATGTAGCGTTCAGGTTTCCACGGGCGCATGCATGGATGAATGCGGCAGCAGCAGAAGCCGGCTCGAGTAAGCACATCTCCCGTAACATACGTACCATGACATCGTGTGTGCTTGTGGTCGTTTGGAGCTAGGAGGAGAAGGAGGGGTGGGTGTATGCGCATGTGTGGGATGCACCATGCACCGAATCCTCCAAAGAAGTCGTCTAGAAGGACTCCATATCCGGCACTAGACATCCATCACCTTCTTGGTTTATTTGGGGGTTTTTCTTTTCTTTTTGCTTTCTCACTCCTCCCACACCATGGCATCCCATCACCAAGATCAAACAAGAGTTCGAACCTTAACCGATGTTTGTTTAGCCACGTGGGTTTGGTCTTTCTCATGCCCTCTCCCCTAGTCTCCCCGTCATCGCCATCCTTGCTTTTTGACAACTCCCCTTCCTCATCCCTCCATTCGATCCCGTAGTGCACGGGGCAACAAAAAAAAAAAAAAAAAAAGCCACTCGAGTCGTCCCGCGGGAGCGATGCAGGGAAGAGAGCCACGTGTATCTTTGGCGTGGGAAGCGAGAGAAGCATGACCCCCGTTTGGCCCAGGGCAACCTCGGTGGCGCATCTTGCCTTCATCGAGGCCCGGAGCCAGCGTCAGTCAGGCTTTGCCAAGGTTGGGATAGCGGCAACAGGAAAAATACCCACGCGACATTTCCCAGCCTTTCCCCTTCTTGCTTCGAATACATCCCAACAAGCAGCACCGCCGGATCCGACCTTTCCCCTTCCTCCCCGGTTTGCTTCGGATGCATCCCAGCCAGCATTGTCGGGCCTGACAAAAGGTGCGGCAGCAGCAGAAGCGCCACGGTGAGCTAATCCGCACGTCACACGTAGCCCCTGACGAAACGGTCATGCGAGCATGCTTGCCAGAATCACATAACAATAAAAACCCCGCGCACGTTGTCGGCCAAAGAGGAAAGGCGTGGGTGGGAACGACAATCTCCGCTGCCCGAAAAATCAGTACTTGTGCGTGCGCGCTCAGAGAGGCCGAAGAGACAGCGAGACCAAGAAACGACGGGAGGGGGATGGGGTTTCCGCTCGCTCCGCCAAGGGTTCACAGATCGCGATATGAGATGGGCGATCAAGATTCGAGCGGTTGAGCTAGGGGGTGATCGTACCAAGGCCTGCCAAAAAAACCTTGTTTTTTTTTTCCTCGGCCCACAAAACAAACCGGTCAGTGATGGCAAAGTGATCAGGCGGGAAGCAGGTATGGGGCGGGCGGGCGACTGTGGAATCCCTCACCGTTGCGTGTTAGTTGCACGACAGCGGTGCCTGTCGGTTCCCTAGCCCGGACGACGATGCCCACCGCCAGGATGGGGATGATGGAGAAGTGGGAGGAGGTCCCCCACATGGAGGTGAGCCAGGGCGGGCTGGTCATGGACAGAGGAAATATGGCGTGGCTGCTCGCCCGCACCAATCAGACCAAGAAAGTGACGACGCCCCGACGAGGGACCTGGAACGAGCCAGACCTGCTCCCAGCAGCATGGGAAGAAGGAAAAGTCATTGTGACAATATAAAGTTTGCAGCAACGATAAGGAACACGAGACGAAAGGAAAGGATGGCATATGACGAGCAGCGGCATTTTCAGAGCCCAGGAAGGGACGAGAGGAAGGGACCCAAGAGCAAGCGAGAGAGCCTTTGGTGGCCGGGCGAGCAGCACACGTGCGGTCTAAGCTCGCAGTCCTGCCAGACAGACTTAACCAGCTCAGGGCGAGATGGGGAGGTGAGAGGGAGGGGACACCCCTCCTTGTCTCAACCATACCCTGCGATGCGACCGTACTGCACCGCGCAAGAGCAAGGACTGCAATACCGGAAGTAATATGCCGTGTAATATTGGTGGTTCTGGAATGCCATATGGACGGTGATCATTTGCGAGGAAGCGAGTGCAGTGCCGGCGGGGTGTGCGTGTTGCCTGGTGGGGATATGGCAGCACCACCAGCCAGTATCAAGTACACACTGGGTAGGCAGTTACCAGTTACATGCTATGGTGCTCGGTGGCGCGGGGAGGCGGTATTCTCGGATAGCAGTCCCTACCTCGGCACCTAGGCTCAGACACAGGCCGTCGAGCATGTCTCTGGTGCCGATTGTCCGAATGAGGCCAAGAGCGACTATCAAGGCTCGTATCGAAAGGAGGTTGGCCTCGCCGGCCTGCTGGTGGCGGACACAAGGCCGACATCAGGAGGCAGGCTACCACCTAGTACCAGGGAGCGGATTGGTGACCTTCGAGAAAGAGCCCCGACTCGAGGGCTCTTCCTCAAAAGGGCCTGGCGTCGGCTAGCCTGGCTCTAGCGTCAATGGCACGCACAGGCTGGGGAGCTGTCGTGTGTGGTGGTGGTGGTGGTGTGCGGTGCGGTGTCGTGTGTTGGGACGAGGGCACGCTTCCTTAGCGGCCGTTCTCGTTTGCCTCGTGCTGCTGCTGTTTGGTAGAAGGTTGTTTGGGCCCCGCTGATTGGGCGCGGCTGCCCAAGGAGTGTGTCAGGTTTGGCCGGCCGGTCGCAGCTGCCCCTTGGGCAAGGTGAGGTAGGGTGGTGTGGTTACATAAGACGACATCGCGCTTGGACCGAACGGGAAAGAAACCGGAGAGAAGCTAAAGCAAAAAAAAGAAGCCGATCGCCTTGGCTCGCCTTGGCTCGCGTCGTGGCGCTTTTTCGCACTTGGCTTGGGCTTTTCCCTTCCTGGCAGGCGGGCAGGCATGCAGATCCCATACCCCAGCATTTCGCACGCACGCACGCACGCCCCCACACCCACTGGCTGGCTGCCAGACCCTGACGACCGCAAATCGCTGCAGGCTGTCGAGCAAAGACAACAACATCCACCTCTCAAACAACGAACGTCCAGGATCGTTTCCAACAGGGGACACTCGCGCACTGTACCGTAATTAAAAACGAGCTTCTCCGATGCTACTCGGGGCTTTACGCCGTTTGGCCGGCGGGTGGATGAAGCCGCCAAATTCGGCGAGCCGCTCCCGTCCGACCCTGAGAGGCGGCGACGCCGCCAACGCCTCAAGATGGCGACACGGCCTCGGCCGGTAAAACACTTTTCCTGCCTGCCCGATTTTTGCCCGACCCTGCAACTTGTAATGCATGCACTGCGCGCCACACACACCACGCACACCTCACACACCTCACACACCTCACACACCTCACACACCTCACACACCTCACACACCTCACACACCACACACACCTTCAACACAAATGAATGATTGCAACCTAGCGCGCACCTAATCACAAGGAACAACGGGGATATGGCGGTGAGCATCGATACTATGTCCTCGCTTGGGCATTGATGGAATGAATTAGCCGCGGGCGAATATCTCTTCCATGCACACTAATTTGCCCTAAAAAAGTGTACCCCGGCAGGCAATTCCCGAGGTTGTCCTTCTGGGCGCTTTGTATCTTTGCTCATTCTCTCTCACAGCCCCACTTCTGCGGCATTTCACTACGGTTAAGTCCTTATGATATGTAGCATTACAGTAGCGTGGCTCTAGTCCGCCTATAGCGACGGGCTAGGTACTGTAGGAGGGCAGGGCGGGACGCGGAAAGCGTATTGGTGCAATCGTTGGCATGTGGAAAGATAAAACAAACGAGGGACGAGAGGGCAGAGCATCGCAACGGGGTCTCGTATCATTCATGCCCGGCCTGTGCTGAAATGAGGTGGGAAATCGTTGACGCGGGGAGACCGTGTGTTCCTGTAGGGTGCGGAATTTTCCGCCCTTCGTTTCGTTTCCTGTACATACAAGGTGGTGGTGGGAACGAGGAGAAGAACACAAACAGGGTCCAGGGGGAAGGAAGAAGAAAAAAAAAATCAGCTTTGGCCACGATAACCAGTAGCATCACAAACGGGGCCTTCCATTGCGGCGGCCAGGATTTCGAGCCTAGCTCTGCCGGAGTTTCCCCGCCTTCCCCTGCTGGCGCCAATCACGGCCGCCTGCTGTCAAGCTCGCCTATGTACAAGCTGTGCCAACAATGCGGACCCCTGGTATAGTTGCAGCGCACGGGTTTTCAGGGGTCCTGGCCAATCAGCCGGTTGCCTTCCAACCCACAGCGAGGGCAGTGGAGGGCGTCACGCCAAACATCTGGCCGACCGACCGGCCATCCGGACGGCCGGAGGTTCCCCCAGGTTCGAGGGGAAAGGCGGTCGTCCCAGCACTTCGTTCCTTCTTTCTTCCCCCTTTTATTTCTTCTTTATATTCCCAAAATGGGGGGTTGATAAAAGTGGGGAAAGACAGGCGCTCGCTCGGCTGTTGGAGGCTGCGCGCGCGTCGTCCATGCGTCAGGGCTGGGTTTCGTCAACCTTGCCGGGATTGCGAGAGGCTGATCAGCCCGGCCCGACCGAAATATCCGTTTGGGGCAATGCAAACTCTCGTGCGCATAAAAATAAAACTACCAAGAAAGGGAACGGGAGCGATGCGGGAAAGCAAGGGAGACAGCAGGAGAAAAAGAAAAGGGAGAGCCGAAGCAAAGCTTATTCCGCGCCTCGGCGGCAGGCATCACTGGCTGGAAAGAAGATGTTCCGAAAGAACCCAGGTGAGGAGGGGGCGCCCCGTTTTCGAGGAATGACGATGCAACTGGAACAGTGATGCACCCATATTGTATTCCTGTCGCGGTACACTACCAACTTGGTAATGAAGGACGATAGATTGTGGGGTAAAGAAAAGGCAAATGGATGTGCGGATGGCCTTGTGTTCCATGCGCGGGCTACTTTGTCTCCGACCAAGTCCAAGCAATCCGTGGGGGTTGTTCCTGCCGTTTCGCATATTTCGCCGACCTCCCTTGCCTCTCGACTCCAGGCCAATCACAACTGCAGGAGCTACGTCCGAGCAAGGCTCCGCGCGACCTAATTCGCCCATGGGCACCATCCCTTTTTTTTTTTTTTTTTCCCGCTCTTGATTCCCATGGCCCTGTGCACCGTTTTTTTCTTTCTCCTTTCAGGATCCATTTCACCCTGGTGGGCAAGTGAGATTCATCGATTCCTCTTGTGTTTCTCGCTTCTCTCCTTTCTTTCCACTTTGGCCGCAGCGGCGTTTCCCATGGTTCCGAACGGGGTTGCCTCGCCCAGGCAGGGCCCTACAGGCGCTAAGCCCCGCAGAAACCCTTGCGCCTGAGCTCTGTCGCCCACCCATGTCCGCGATGGAATTGGGTGGTGGGTGGTACTGGTGCTTGATGACAGTGCAAGTGGTGGGTAGCGACGCCAGCTACAATGCGCCCTCGCAGCCTGGTCCGGTTTTTGTTTCAACATCGAGCGAGGAAGAGATGAGTGCCGGTGGAGGCGCTGCCTACCTGGTACCTACGTGGCACCTCACCTCATGCACCAACCTTCCCACTGCGGCAGGTAGCACTGGCAACCGAGCCGAGGACCTTGGGTTTGGGTCGACAGTTCCATCAACTTAGAGGTGCGTACGCCGTCATGACCGCCTCCGAAAGTCTTTCCTCCGAGGGCCTCTGCTCCGGCCGAGTCGCCGAACACAAACAGACGGCGCCAGTGCTAGTGGACTCGTACTTAATCTAAGCACCCTGGCCGCAACGTGAGCCTTCTTTCAACCGCTAGGGCTACGGTGGCAACGGCGTTTCCACTGCCCCTGCCACCAGAAAATCGTCCCATCAAACCCCAATCCCTGTTGCGTGCAGGTCCCAGGGCTCACAAACCCCAGTGCGGCGGATGCAAAATACATTCCGTTCCTTAGAAAACCAAGCCAAACTGATGTATCACCAGGATCCACCGTACCAAGGTTTGTGATCCCTGGGACCTGTAGGGGTTCAAACAGGACAGAAGCCCGACGTCAACCTCTGCCCTACCTCACCGTGCGGCCATCAGTGCGTACTTCCCGTGAATCCTCGTGTTACGTGATGGAAGCCAGAGCGTGGCGGCGAGACAGACGTCAACCCACGCCGCGTTCAAGCCTCTTCCATAGCGGCCCGTCTAGCGCGCGCCGGGCTGGACTAGCTCGTCTGAGACGGGCAAAGCAAGCAATTACGATATCATGACAAAGTGAATCCCGGCGCCGCCTCGGGGTCACATGGCACAGCTGAACACCAAGGGCGACAGGATGCGTCGACGCAGAGACAGCAAAGAAGGATGCAGGTGATAAGAGACAGAAAGAGGCCAACAATACCTACACAGTAACCAACTGTGCAGACACCTCGACACCCCCTTGCTCGGGCGCCCTACATGTACCTAGTGCTTGAATGGTGTGGTGGAGAGCAGCCGAAGCAATGCCGGTCGCTGTATTACCGCCCCCAGACGCCCCAGCCGTCGGTCGACAATTGCATTTCCTAGCGTTGCTTTCCAGCGTCGCTTTCCAGGGGGGGATCTTCCCATTTCCCTGGGTTCTCTCTCTCTTGTCGGTTTCCCATCCCTGCTTTTCGTTTCCCCGTGCCCCTTTCCCCGAGAGCCCTTGGTCTGGGTGGAACCTTGGTGGTACCTAACAGTGAGCAGAAGGGAACCACCCTCGGTGAGGATAGGCATGCTGAAAGCGGACAAATTAAACGGTGCCCAAGGGTTGGATGACAGGCCCCACGACCAGGGAGGGGGCTATGGGGTCCTCCCCCATTACCACGAGTTCGACGCCCTGTTTGGTTTAGTGGGCACGCCTTGCGGTCCATGCGCCCGCTGGGCCACCTTGATTCCCCATAGCCCAACCAGGCGCGCGCGCTCCTACAGGACAGGGGGGGCGCGGGCGGCCAAGCGCGCCCGCCGAGAGCTGCTGGTCTTTTGCTCTGTATGTTTGGCGCGCGACCGCGCGCGTGCGCCCACTCCCCCGCTAGGGCTAGCTCGGCTAGCTGGGTTGCTGGCCTCGCTTACTTGGTTGTGGCACCAGCGGCGACAGGGGCCGGAGACACGAGGTTTGGAGATCAGCAATGATGCTCTACGCGCACTAAGGAGAGGAGACATCACCATGATTGCGTGGGAACAAGGGTGGTGGTGATGGTGGTCAAGGGGGGGGGAATGCCGCTGTTGGCTACCGCGACCGCTACCGCTACCGCTACCGTCGCTGTTGCCGGTGCTGCTTTGCTACTACCCGCTACAACCGGGCCCCTTGCAATCCAGCCTGCAGGCCCTAGGCTAGGTTGGGTACCCAATGAGCCCGCCCTGGGTTAGGCTGCCTCGACGGTTGCCGTTTCTGATTGGGAGAACCTGGCAGTAGCACGGCTGGGGGGTGAGAGATCACTCTTTGTCATGTTATTGTTATTTCTGCCCTCTTTCTTTGCCTGCTATCCCTGATGCCAAATTTGGACCGTCTTTCCCGAGGGTTAAGCATAATGGTTCAAACTGGGGTGGTTTCACAGCCTCAAGGCAGCTGCCGCAATGGTGAAAGCTCTATGCTGAAAGGCAAGCGACGTCACTGGAAGTACCCCCCCCCCCTTTTTTTTTTTTTTTGGATTTGACTTGCTTTTTTTTGTCTCTTCTCCCCTCCTTCTTTTTCACTGTTTTCTCCGACACATCCCCGTCGCATACGCTGCATAACATATGGCCAATAATGATTGATACGACGCCAGTCTCGGCAGACAGCGAATATACCGCGCAGATCACCAGGACAGGAAAAAAAAAAGGGAGGGAGACCCAAGGGGAAAGAAAGAAAGGGAAAATGAACACCCCCACCACACCCTCACAAAAAAAACAAGTTGTATACCGCCATGGGGCCTGCAGCTCTGGGCAGCAGCTTAGCGACAGGCAAGCGAGGGGAGAGGTGCGTGGCCGGCCAAAGGCCCCTCTCTCGGGCGGACTTTGTGGGAAAATTAACCCACTCGCCGATGTCGGCTCGGAGTCGTCGTTCGCTCGTTCGTTCATCGTTGCCCGCCCAGCCCCCTCCCTCCCAGCGCGCAAGCGACACGCACATACACACACACACACACACACACACACACACACACACACACACACACACGCACGCACAGGGCGGCCGGCGCCAAGAACTGTGTGGCCTAATTGGCGGCCGGCGTAGGTCGTTTTTGTGGTCAATTTATTGAGGGAGGGAGAAACATGCGGTGTGAACGCCAATATCTTTTTTTTTTGTCATGTCTTGACGAGCTAAGCGGCCCCCACGTTGATTGGCGGACAAGTGTCCGCAGAGAGACATGATGTCGGACAAAAAGAAGCGACATCAAAGTGTAGTAGTCGGGCTTTTTCTAGCAAGATAAGTCCGCTGGATGTGGTCCTCAGCAGAGAAAAAATGGAATGCGCCTTATTTTTATTTTTATTTTTATTTTTTTGTTTCATTCGCCCAACGAGTCGTCTTCAGCCATAACCTTGAACGCCGCCGGCCCTCGAAATTTGCGCCACATCTAATCATTACGGAAGCATATAGTCCATATACACGTGAAAAGAAGGAGAGAGCAAAAAACAAACAAAAAAAAAGCAAAAAGGCGGCTTCTGGAAACCCCCTTCACCCACAGGCAATAACCAGACATGCCAAGAGGAAGACGGGGGACCGGAGTCACCGACAGACACTAAAGCGAGATGCCGAAAAAGAGACAATAATGAAATGCGGCCAAGGACGAAATTAGCAACTTTTGCCAAAGAGAATTGCAGGAAGAATGCTAGCGCGGCGAGAGGGGAAGCCAATTGGAGGGCGGGAAGCTCAAGATTGGTGGCTTGCATTTGCACACACCACAACAACATCCATGCAGACCCAGGCAAAAAAAAAAAAGAGATAGGAGAATAGCGCGAAGCAGGTCAGAGTGTCAAGCATAAAAGCGGAGAGATGAGCAAAAATGACATGGTTGAATTTGTTGTAACGCCCAGGCCCCCATGGCCTGTACCCTCCTGCCATCCAAAAATAACTGGATTTTCCCAGCCAGCCTTGTGCCCAAGAAGTAAAAAATAGATAACAAAAAAAGAAAAGACGAATCCCAGTTATATCTAATAAAAGAAGACCTGATATTGCGTAAAACATGGATATTGCATAAAACATCAAGTGAATAGAAATAAGAAAACGTGTAAGCTCCCATAGGAGGGGAGCTCCTTCGTATGCTGGGGAACAAAAAAAAAACTCCACGTGGCGGGAGGGACCGTCCGCGCGTGGCAGGCCGAACCCAAATGCAAGGCCAGGCCTGACGGACAGGGTGCAGTGATGGCGAGCGCGCGATGGTTGGTTGGGGATTGTGGTGGTTGGTAGTGGTGGTAGTGGATGCGTGTGTGTGTGTGTGTGTGTGTGCGAGGCAATCCTGTGTGCGCGTGGAGCCGCATTGTCTCAGCGCCTCCTCCGCTGCAACCTCCCTTTTCTTCTTCGTTACCCTTTTAGTTCTTCTTGGCGAGGGGAGGGAGATCAGCGAGTGACCAAAGAGGCGCCTTGAGACTGTTGATGGCGCTTCGGGTCGGATGGACCTTTTTTTTGTTGTTGTCTGCGGCAGAATGATCGGAATGCAGTCCTTCCAGAAAGCAAAATGAAAAAAAAAAAGTAGAGGGACTGCAAGACTTTGAGCGAGAGGCGATATAGGATGAAGCCACTTTTTTCTCATTCTGTTTTCTCCCGCATCTGGAAGCGTGTCGGTCCGGGGGGCGGTGGTTTTTTTGGTGGTGGGATGCGGCGCGTGGGGCGGCAGCAGGCGGGCGGCGGTGATGCTGCTTCTTCTTTTTTTTTCCTTTTCTTTTTTTCGGTGCTCGGTCCAATGTCTCTGGCCGCCACTTGCATCGCCCACCCAACAACAAACTCCATTCTGCTCCAATGAACGGACTGGCTTAGATCGCGCCAATGACGTGCAAGCACGCTTTCGCCACCACAACCGACAGATCGATGCCTGCCGGGTTACCAGATTGGGTCCAGCAGCCTTGGCAAGGTTCCTTTGCAGCGTTGATTTTTCTTCTCTTCTTCCCTCATGTCGGAGGAGGAAAAAAAAGCCGTGATCGTCCGTGGGCGTGGGCTCGCCTCGGCGTTGGTTGCCGGGTGGAGTTTTTGGGCCGCTGTCGTGCTGGGGCGAGAAAGTGGGAACTCGCCCGAGGGAGGTTGCAGACAGAAGCCCGACCCGGCGAGGCCGGGCCTGGAGTGGTGGTAGGTTTCAGAGAGCCGGAGACTGAGGGTAGTAGACGGGGTACATGTTCCATGACTGCTGGTGCATGTAGGTCGGAGGCAGCTGCACCGGGTTCGCCCGCGGGTAGCCGTTTTCTGAAGGAACGGGTTAGAATTCGGGTGTCGCTTCTCTCTCGGCGGCGAAAACACAGGGGGAAAAACTCACCATTGTCCATATCCTCGTATTTCATGTCGGCGCTGCCAACACGGGATGTCGGAGGAAGTCCTTCGAGTCTGGAGGGCACGCTGGTCGGGATGTAGCCGTATTCTTCCGCGGTTCCGGATGATGCTGGGCTTGAAACGTTGGAGCAAGGTAAGACTGATGTCCATTGTTCGGAGGGCTCGGGGGTTGGCAGGTAGGATGCTCCATACTCTCCGACCTGGTGGTAATCCGGTGAATGCTGTCCAAAGGATGAGGATGCGCGGCTGGAAACTCCCGAATCGTCGTATACTGGGGAGGGGGGGGGGGAGGTGGACGTATTAGCACCCAAAACGGCAGACGCGGGAGGGAAGTCGGCTATACTCACATGGCGTGGGATAGGGGTGGGATGTGGGAATTCCGTAACTCTCGCGCAGGCGCATCAGCTCCTTCTCGAGCGCCTTGTTTTTCCGGATGAGCTCCTGGAGGGTTTCGTCGCGGTTCTGCTTGCTCTTGAGTTCCTCGACCTCGCGCTCGAGGCGCTCGATGTGCTCTTTGGTCCTGGCCCGGATCGCCCTCTGCGCCTCCCTATCGTTGGCCCGCTTCCTGGCCAGCTGCGACGGCGTCAGGGTCGAGACGCTGCGGGTGCCTGGTGGGTGGGGGTGAGGTGCCTATGTTAGCATTTTCCTTTCTTGCTCGTACCAAGAGAAGAGCCACAAAGACTGCGGCGGCGGGGGCGGCGACTGACGCCGCGCACAGCACCATCCACAGGTCTTCAAAGGCCCCCGGAGCCGAGCTCCGACAGCGTGGCCGTTGGTAGCGCGCGACGCTGTAGGAGGGTCTTGACTCCGAGCGTGGGGAAGGACGGCGCAAGTCATGACTTACCCTTCCGCTTGGTGGGCTTGCTCGGCTCGGCTGATGGTGATCGAGTCATCGTTGTGGTGGAGTCTCTGGGGGAAGCTGTGGGAGAGCTGAACTGCGAGGTGGAGGACAACGAGGATGAGGACGAGTTATAAAGAGCCATGGTCCTGTGGACGAGGAGAGGGACGGGGTTCTTGATGGGGAACGAGGAGAGGGCAGGCTGGAATTGTTGTTTCACTTGAGCTCGTTCTTTAATTCCCACGTCTACAAGGCCCAAGCTCAGCATTCTCGATTGTGAAGGAGAGAGGGGTCCACAGCAGGGTCTGGAGAGCTTATTATATGATACCAATGGAGTTCTGCCCACCCGGCCGGCAAGGATCCATCCATCGGCGCCGCGACTGGGGTTGTCGCCATGTCGAAGAAAAAACCAGACCATCCTTGTAGCACCCAGTACCAGCTCGCTGGGGAGCCCCCGGCAAGACGAGCGACAGGGATGCACCTTTGTGGATCGAAGATCGGTGCGTCTTTGGACGTGCACCAGGATGGGAAGGGTCAGGCAGGTGATGGGTGGGTGCGTGGGCAAGAGGGCGTGTGCACAACAGAAAGAGACGGGCTCCTGGGAGCATGTACTTTGTACTCCGTGCCTCGTCGCAGCCTGCCTTGTCCGCACTGGCCCTCCGTCCATGACCGTCCGTACTGCCTCTACCCAGCGCTAGCGGCATCAGCACAGACATGGACGCAATACCAACAAGCCGACAGCTCCGGGCAAGCAAGCAAGCAGGTTGCCTCGTCAGGTCTGTATCGCATACACACCGACACAGCTTCCTGCTGCGTGCGTCCTGTGCATACCTACCCACTTGGGGCCCCATAGCATGCTGTACACCGTCTATATCGTGGGCCGTAGAGGGGACCCTGAGGTTCTGTGCCTGCTGTGTGCGGTGGCAGCTATGCAGCCCTCTCTGTGCAGCAGTCCAGTGTGCAACGGACTGTGCAAGGGGTGCGAGTGAGGTATCCATCAACCATGCATGGGACGTGTAGGTAGGCAGATACGTACTGGGCTGTACTCACAGACCGCGCCAGACATATGCTGTGGAGCGTGTACACGACAGGAGACGGCCAGATTGATACCTCATCTCACTTACGTACAGGATGGCACGCAGCCAGCAGCTCACTAAGGTGACGGCGCGTGTGTACTGTACATGCTCCCGCACTTCCTTGCCTGCCTGCCGGGACTGTGCTGGTGGGTGCATCATCAGCAGCAGTCTTCTCTGCAGTCCTACCCAGGTAGGGATAGTGCCATGGGGTGCAGAGCGCCCGCAAGCTATCCGAGAGTACGTGGTAGGCCTGGAACCCCCATGAACTATGCTTTGGCTAGCTCTGGGGAGAGGGGGTGTGCGGTGGGAACGAGTCTAGTTGGCCCGAGCTCTGACGCAACAACCGTAGCCTGCCGGCCGGGGGATTCGAGCAAGCCAGGAACTTTGTTTTTCCGGCCACTGCTAGGTAGTGGCTGCATGTAGTGTACACCGCACAGGATGGTTGGTGTGTAAAAGCGACAGTGGAAGGGGAAAGAAAAGAAAGAAAAAAGCTGCGGATTTGTTTTACTTGGCTGGCCTACCGCGGACTTCTCGCCGGGACAAGTGGTCGGGGTGTGCGATGACAGGGGAGGGGGCTCGAAGCGAGGAGTATTAATAAAAACCACCAGGAAAAAAATAGGTAACCCCTGGACCTTGACGTCGGCCTGCGACAAACTGGGCGTTGTGCAATGCTTTCTTCCCGACTGGCGTTATGCACTAGCGAACAAAGTGAGAAAGGAAGGGAAAGAAGATCAAAAGAAAGAAACGACCAACGTCTTCAGAGGGCCGTCTTGCAGACACGCCCCCTCCCCCTCCGCTCAATCCATGCCCCCATCCCACATTTTGCTCTCGCAGCAGCCGTGGGATGCGTGCGATGCGTTGGCTGCTGGCACGGACGGCCGGCCGCTCGTCAGAATCTCGATGGCAGGAGGCGAGAGGGACATGTCTGTCACCTGCCCTCACGCACCCTCAGCAGGCACCATACCACTTTGTTCATTAGAGACAAGACGTTGGCAAATGGCCTGCCCTCACTCGAAATGTTCGGTTCCGGGGCCGTGGCGGTGGTTGGCTGGCTGGCGGGCGGTGGACTGCGGGCTCCTCCCTGCCACCAGCGTGGAGAGCCCCTCCCGAGGCTTTTGCTTGTTTTCCTACTGCCCGGGCTGCACGTGTGTGTGTTCGCGGTGGTGGCTGTGATCTGTCCCAAGCAAGCAAGTGGTGAATGTGGTGCTGCAGCGAAATAGAGTTTACGCTAGTGTCTTGGCAGGTTTCCTAGGCCACCCTGTCTGGTCCTACCAATGGGGGGGCTCGCAATGAATGGAACGCCATGGACAAGGCCCTCTTCATTGCCGGCAGGAGCCACCACGTACTGTGTAGCGAGAGAAGGCGCTCTGGATTCTGGATTTTGTGGACTAGACTGTATTGTACTGTGCTGTACCGTGCCTGCCGTTCCCAGCACTAAAGGTCGCCAAAATACGTCCGCACCGCAGCATTGGCAGCACCTGCCCTTGTTGCCCTGGCTGCCCCGACTGTCCACCTCGGGAGCTGACACATGAAACGCCGATTAACTGTCGACTGCCCAGATTGCCCTTTTGATACTGGCCCTCCCTGCCCTGCCCTGCCCTGCTCTACATATAGTACAGACCACCACATACTCCAACAACCAAGGAAATCCGTTCAACCAAGAAACACGCGCACTCGGCGCGCAGTGCGGAGAAAACATGCCAATGTTTGACACCCACAGTCTGGGGTTCCCTCTCTGTTTTTACATCGACATGGCTGATGCGGCCTCTGTGTCGGAGGCTACTCCAGCCGAGATTTTCCTGGGTGCAGTCCTGGGTGCAGTCCACGCACACACACGTCCTGCACTTCACGCCCGGCTTCTCGTCTTCCAAATTCCAATACATCCTGGCCCCTTCATTATTGTCCCCCACCTCTGTTAATGCCCAGGGGTCGCTAGTGGGGACGGTAGGGTGGGAAAAGCCTCGCTGCCAGGCAAGCCTCCTGGACAGCCTTGCTTGGGAACCCTTGTTTTTTGTTTTTTTCCTTCCCTTTCCCTCCTCTCTTTCCCCTTCTTTCTAGAAACGGTCCGACCAGGGGCGACCCCCTCTGGGCCTGCCTCATGCGATTCGAAGGGGGCAATCGCGACCCCTCGCCAAGCCGCCTGCCGCCGACATGGCTTCCCTCCCCTGTCGTCATCGACCGCGTTTCCCTTGAACCTGCCTCTCCCTGCTCTCCCAATTAGCGCGCGGACGTACTGCCCGCATGCCATTGGCCAGCAGCCCGCGCCAGACACTTTTTCCATGAGCAGGCGCCCGCCCCGTTGGACAGACAGCATAGCATAAAGAGGCAAAGAGGCAAAGAGGCAAGGAGGCAAGGAGGCAAGGCACCTTCGACTGGAGCCCGGCGCACGCACCGCACGACGGGGGTTGGAGCATCTCTGCACACATACCTGCCATACACGGATAAGGTACTGTCGGTACGCGGCGCAAAGGCTACCTTTACCTTGTCCCGTTGCATTCTTCATCTCAACCTCATCAGACCCATCCCACCCATCACTCCTCGACGTTTTAAACGACCAGGAGGAGGGATCCCAGTGGCCTTCTCTCCCGCCCCCTCGAGGGTGACGGCATGGATGGGCCGCGCAACCTCGCAAAACCCACCTCGGACTGGGCAGGCTTGAGCAAAACAAGACAAAGACAGGACGCTGGGACTCTGCTGCTCGCTTTCAATCCGACGGCCCCGGGCCCAGGCCCACCCAGACCGCTGCCAGAGTCACTACGGGTCCCTGTACATTAGGTTTGGGGGCCCAGATAGCTTTTTGTTTTATTACTGGCCTACCGATAGGTTAAGTGACGGTGATGGCCCCGCGCCCGCCCGCCCGCCTGCCCCTCAGCGCATGGGGAAATGGCCAAACTGCTATCTCCCCTATCAAATGCTGCACACACCTACTGTACGCGGGTTACCGTATGGGGACAGACGCGTGAGCGCTCCTCTCCTTCCCGTCGGGGTGCGCGGGGCCAAAAGGTCAGTGCTGGTACAACGTCAACCTGCCCCCTGGCTGCCTTCTTTGGCGGGCATGCATATAATGCCGTTGCGCAAACATGCCATCACCCGACGGCTGAGACCCCCCAGGCCGGTCCCCATATGCTCTGCCCCGTCTCGGTGTGTGATGGGCCCAGGCATGAAGACGGAGAAGGTGGGCAGACGATGACGCGGGAAATCAGGGCGGCAGGCCGGGCCACGGGCGCAGAGAAGGTTTTCGCCATTTTTCCTTATGCCTGATGTTCCATCGCACTCGTGCCAATAGCCAGGAGTACGATTTTGGGTTGTGCCAAGCGACATATGTCGCTTGTTTCCTATGCCGCATGCTCCTCCGTCTGTCTGCCGGTGGCGCATCCTCGGTCGATGCTATCTCGGTGTCCCTCGGTGTCTCTGTCTCTTGATACGGTCTCTTGATACTGCCTCTCCCACTCTTGCTTAGGTATGTCTTGCTGCTCATGCTCTCACTAAGCAGGGCCCGGCCACCCTTTCGAGGCCAAGGCCAGGGAAGCTGCCGTGTCGCGAAAAAAAGAAGAAAAAAGAAAAAGAAAAGAAAACAGCTAATCCAATATGGCAAAAAGATAGAGGAATGCACAGTCAATGGATGTGTGGATAGGATCATGGTTGTTTCGGCCCGCGAACGAGCGACCGAACCCGCGAAGACAAGGGGGGTGGTCGCCGTCAGGGCCAGGGGAGAGGTGGTCGAGAGGGGGAGAGGGAAGGGGCGTGCGTCAAAAAGGTGAGGGAAGAGACACACAGCATAGAGAGAGGGAGAGGTAGAAGTAGAGGGAAAAGTGGCGACGAAC